CAACAAAGGTTTGAAATAAGGGTGCAAATGCTAAATTTAAAACGATAAAGACTATTTTAGCAATGAGTGTAAACGTTAGGGACGTTTTCTTCTAATTACCCGTGCGATTTTATTGATGTAAAATAACATATTGATAATAAATAAATTATGATTTTTATTTATTTTGTCTTATTACATTTGTTTAATATTAAATTTCACTTGATTGTGAGGTATTTCTTCTAAATACCTAGAGGGGGTTATGTTTATATTTTTGTGAGTTTAATAGTTTTTAAATTCATTAATGGGAGAAGATCAATTTGATTAATCGAATATCTAGGTGATTTGAGAGTTCGAGAACGAGCAGAGTAGAGAATACGAACACGCGTAGGGAATCTTCACCCTCAAAAGGTAGAGTGACTATTTAAATATTTTATGTTGAACAATTAAAAATTTAAATTCAATGTTTAGAAATGACTAAACTTCGCATTTGAGATCGATTCACATAACCGTTGAAAAAATAATACTTAAGTTAGTGAGAATAATTAGAAAGACAAAGTAATTATTTGTGCTTGTACCCATTATCGTATCGGATGGGATTGAAATACATATACGGTATGTTAGAGAAAAATATTATAGATATATGTCATCTTCTATGATTTTATATATTCTGATAGTGCAGTTTTTTTTCCCTTTAATAGGAAAACGAATACTAATAATTAAATTGAGTAGTCTAAGATCTATTAGATGTTCATGTGAAATTCGTAAGTGTACGAAATCGTTGATAAATAATAATGTAGTGAGTAAAGAGTATTGTCCCATGAAGAATAAATCTTAAATTGAATTGTATTAATTGGTTATCAAATTTGAATGCAAATGTATCAAGAGAGAATTGTGTTTATATCTTATTTAAGATTATTTTTAACTAGATATACAAATGAATGTGTTGTCCGAATCCACATATTCATATCTTATTTCCAAGTCTCAACATATGTAAGTTAATATGATTTGTGTAATCATGATAATCGATAATCCAATTTTATTAACCATATCTATTGAGGTAAGTTAAATATATTCTTAGCACAAACAGATCATATTCCTAATCCAAATTCATATGTAAAGTAACACATTCAATACACGATTATCTATATGATTGCACATGTCATACATGTTATCACTAACATCTATTATCCGTGTGTTGAAATTGCAAAATTCTAAATCTATCGTGAGCCTCCCAGCATTAAAACAAACAACTAATTGCCTAATTAATGATCAAGCAATTAAATAATTCAACAAAGCATACAAGATCAATTAAGAACACAAATTCACTAAACTACTTGGTCTTTAAATTAAAAATAAATAATATTAAGGCTCATATTCATCCCAACACAAAAGAAATCTAGCCTTGGTCCTGTCCGAGTGCGCTTCTGGAAGGAGAAAAATCAATTATTTGCTCGTTGTAGCCCACCACTGTTGACCCCCTCTCTCAGGATTGGGTCCCAATTGTCTCCTCCAACGGCCATATTCTTGCTTTTAATCCATGAAAATAGCCAAACCAGATAGGCACCTAGTATGATTCTAAGATAAAAACAATAAAATAATTGAAAAATCATCACCCGAAATTTATAAATACAAGAAGGAGATGTGAAATCAATTTCTTGTTCTTGATCTTCAATCTCAAGATTTGATTCTTTAAGTTCTTGATGTTTCTTAATTCAATCCATGTGCTAGATTCATTCTCTCCAACTTATGATGAATTGGCTCCTCTTTTCTTGATAGATTTTATGATATGAAGTGGTATGAGATATGAGAGAGAGATTCATTGAATGCTTTCCCTTGTCTTGTACTTATTGGTGGTGAAATTAGGTAAAAAAAAAAAGCATCCAAGGGTTATATAAGAGTTTGTATCACAAAATGAAAGTTGGTCCCGTCTGTAAAAATTTGGCTCTTCCCCGCGCATGGACAAGTGAAATTGACCTTGAGTGGTCAAAAAAATTTCCCTTGCCTGCAATATTCCTATTTAACGGCCTAGATAAATGTATTATCATTAGACGGGATCAAATTATTGAAGAAGTTTGGATAATATATATCCAATTAGGTCCCTAACTTGAATAAGATTTGAACTCAATTATTATACTTTAAAAGTTTTGGACTTAAATATAATTGTAATAAAGTTCAACGACACATGTAATTATACCAAATTGATGCCTAATTTGATATAGGCCTTTTGTGCCTATATATAGGCATATTTAGAAAAGAGGGAGAAAACTTGATTTTTTTTTTTTTTAAAAATCAATCCAATCTAAAATTTGATCATTCTTCAATTAGAAGAACGTGCCCATAAGCCGATGTAGAATTCGCGATCTAGAAAGTTGGATATTCATCATTCAGATTCAGTTCAAGAATTGATCATCATATTTGAGTAAATTCAATTCTTTATTTATTATTACAACATACATGTGAATGTGTATTAACTATCTTGAATTCTTGAAAAAAAAAAAAATTGATTTTCTGAATAATTTTTGTTCCGCATTCCAACATACATGGCCATTCCATGAACCCAAAATATTGCACAAGAATTAGGATAATACAAATGAAGTGGACGTCCAACAATCCTAATACTGATTACAAGATTCCATAAAATGGACCTCTCTCCTTGGCAATTTGGAGGTATTTGTGTTGCCAGTTTTTCATGCATTATTACATTACATTACCTATGCAAAGAATGCGGATATTCCCACAATAAATATTTGTCATAAACACAAATGACCTCCATTTTTTTGTTTTGCAACCATTTCTTCTTTAATTCTTCTTTTCTACCATTCTCATGATTCTTGCAGTTGATTTTCGAAAGCATGTAAAAAGGTATGTCTAAACGATGAATTGAAATCTTCATGTGAATGTTTTGATCATTAAGTTGATGTAAATTGAAGAGATAATTGGTATTCATGTCCTTCTACAGGTCCTTTTATGATTACATGGATAGATTTCTTATGTTGTTATCTAATTTTGTCTTTATTTAGGATTTTGAATTTTTCCAGGACGTGTGTGTGGTTGATTGAACAAAATAGATGATTAATCTTGGTTCAAAAAGGCTGCCCAGGCTGCGGGAGGTCCCCATGACACGACCATCTCTCCAGCCTGGCAGGCACACAACTTTAATGACCATAATTGTATTACACATCGCTAGGTCAAAGTTTAGTCCTTAAAAACCGATTTTAAGGGTGAGTTTGTTACAATTGATGCCGGGAAGACACCTTTAGGGATAATTCTCGTTGCAGATAGAGCAACCCGGAAAGGACTACTTCGAATAGAAGATTGATTCTATAAATTCACCTAGTTGGAAATATGGGCCATCGTGAATGTCGATTTATGAGAAGAGTGTGAAATGCAATGACCCTAATTGTATCCCTCATCTTAGTTGTGGGTTATAACCAACCGATTGTCATCTTTTTACGAGTCAATTTTAAGGGTGAGTTCTACCTAATATGGTTGCTATAACAACACATCCCAGCCGAAACCATGATTTTTCATAGATGCCCAGTCTTTATTTACACCTCTAGGCTCTAATCGAACCTCTAATTTAAATAAATGCTGGTTGGGCAAATGTCTTTGATGAAAGTGCAGGGTTTCACTCTCTGAAGCATAAAACAAGTTGAGTTTTTAGTATAACAAAGCAGTGTTCTAGTTCTTAGTATGCATGATGTTCCTATAGATGATTCTTGAATTGTATAATTTGATGCCTTAGGCTGTTTTTAGAATTATTAAAATGATAACATCTTCCTTAAATATTTTATTTCTAAACCGCGAAATCTGTGTGAGATCTGCAGCAGCTGTGCTGGTTGTGATTTCCTTTCTCAATGGATAATGCGGCTGCAGTTGATATCCCAGTAGCGCCGGGGAATACTACGCCTGAGGTTGTTGGCATCAGAAGGAGCTCAACTGGAAACTTCAGCATTCAAAATAGTGAGACGAAGCCTATACCGAATTACCTCAGAGTCAGAGCGTTGACAGGTTCTTGCCATGATTTCTGCAAATATGGCATGAGACGACATGATGTCGAAACAAAGAGCGAGATGTATAGAAGACATGCTAAAACTGCAAAGAGCACACTGCACAAGGAGAAATTAGTGAACAAAGACGCGGAAAAGAAAGTTCCCACAAATACCAACTCTGTATCAGTTTCTGCAAAACATACTGGTGATTCCAAATTGAAGCTTCCGAGTACACAAACACCAGGATCGACAAATAGACAAAATGGCGGAAATAAGCCAGGCAACTCCATATTAAGCAGGAAAACCCGAGTGCCCCCTACTTCTTCACCTTCTAAGGCACCAAGTTTAAAGTCCAGAAACATTAACATCCCCAAAAAGGTTCCTAAATTGGAAAACAAGAAATCAGAGACCGAGAAAACAACCGATTATGAAAATGTTCCCGAGAAGACATTGTTTGTCATTGATGAAAGCCGAAGTGATAACCAGAAAACAGATTCAAGGGCAGAAAAGAGCAGGAGGATGAGAAATGAAAACGGGGATGGATCACTGAGAAAGCTAGAATTCAAGAAAGGAAAACTGCTCGAGATACCATCTGAGAGTAGTAATTGCAGGGTACTCAAAATTAGGCAAGCAAAAACACTTAACGAGATACCAAATGATAAAGCTGAATGCAAGGAGAAAAACTTGAGGAAACTTGTATCTGATGGATGCTCAATTGGTACAGATGATAATTTTAGCCGTGTGGTTCTTCGACCCCAGGGTGTAGGCAAAAAAGATACTTCTCCAAGCTTGTACAATAGTTTGATTAAAAAGACTGCAAGTAAACTTGTTCGGACGAGGAAGAGTAGAGTGAAGGCATTGGTGGGTGCTTTTGAAACTGTAATTACCCTCCAGAACAACAAATCCTCAAGAACATTTAGAACATTCTAGTATTTTTTCCCTTCATAGAGAGAAATGTGTACCCTTCTGAACCCAGAGTAGAAGTTGCAGGATTCAAGTCCGTGTCAGGGCATAGTTATTGCTGTTCAGCTGTTGTACTTGACATTAAAAATGTTAATCTTATTATGATAATAAAAGAGAAAGTTCTCTAGTAAATCATCTCATTCGGTGTCGAAGTAAATTCTCCTACACCTAAAATTGGCATTAATTCTACAAGTATCAGATACTCTCCGGAATAGACAGGTTATTCTCCTTCTTCATACGTACTTGAGATTTGAGAAAATGCTTTACCGCTACTTAGTGCCTAAGAGTAGTATGATACTCACTCACTGTCCCGATAATGTAAAAAATATGTGGCCCACTGGAAAGTATAACATAAATGAGACTTCTCACACCTAAAAGCTCCAAAAGATGCTGGAAACAAGTAAATTCTAAAAATTTCTAAGTGAGAAAGAAAGGGCTTTTTTTAGAGAGAGAGAAATTTAATCTCTCAAATTTATCCAGAAGCTTCAAAATATTCTGCTATCAGTAATGTTATCCTAGAGGTGGAGGTTAATGATACAATTTCATCCACTAAAGCAAAATATTCACACTTTTGAATGCAAAAAGAAAGGTTGCTGGTGAAACTAGAGCCTTAATCCTGACACTGAACTTTATCAAAATTAATTGCTGTTATAATGGAGCCACAGTGCCTACTCACTTCATCACAATCTGTGTTTTTTTCCTTTCCCCCCTCTCTCAAATATTTTCGCCGTTTATTCTATTTGGATACTGGCAAAAATGGTATTTTAGCACAAGCAGTGGCTTTCAGATGAATATGCTGCCATTCCAATAGCCCACAATTTGTAATCACCACTTTTAAGGCCGATTGAAGCCTCGCTCTGCTACCACTGCTCGTTTTTATCTCTTAGTAGCTTTGCTACCCTGTTCGCCAAAAAGAAAATTTCCATCACTATTGTTAAGATACAACAACAGAAAATATAAGGCCACACTGGACTTCATAATTAATTTCTATAAATTCAAAATGCAATTCAGAAAAGTTAGACTGATTTTTAATTAATCCTGCACCGCAGACATAGCGGCCAGTTTATTTGTCGGCAACTCATCAAATAGCATCAGCTGTTAGAGACATTTTTTTGCTTAAATTTAGTCTGCAACGGCTAAGTACAACAACATAAATCCATTGAGAACGTACCCGAAGTAAGGAGAGCCTGTGTTCTCTTGCACAGCTTATTCGCTTTACAACATCCATTCCCTCGAGGACTCTTCCCACAACCAAAGTCGAGGCATCCAGCTCTGATGAGTATTTAGTGGCAATGAGAAACACTGTCCCATTAGGATCCTTTCCTACCTCTCCTCCATCGATTTCCAGCACGTGCAACCATGACTTGATTTTCGGAGGTGGTTTTGAGGGGTCCATTACAAAAATGCCAACACTCGTCGTCACATTCTTAGTTCCCGAACAATTCTCATTCTTTCTCCCATTCATTTACGAGATTATCAATGGCCACATTACTCCCCGTTTTCCTTACAAGCTCTGCATCAACTCCATAGATCTTAGTTCACCATGTTGCATGTAGTTTGGCATGATTTTAACGTATTCTTTCCTCCTATAACTAGCACCTGCTGCTCCACTTAAGAGTTCGCTAAATATTGTCGTTCCAAAGGGGACAGTATCAGTGTATCACCATATAGCCCAATGATTATTCGACCAACAGGCTCTCCATTAATTGCTACATCAAGAAATGCCCACTTTGCTGGAGTTTGATATGCACAGTCTTCTAGACCTACGTTTTCTTCTCTTGCATTGGACAGGTGCAATGGTTCAAGGGTATGAGAGCCTACGAGTAAAAGCATAGGCGAAGTGGTGAAAATTGAGATATCTCTACGCGATAATTTAGTACAATGTTTGAGAGGAGATGCTGAAGAAGTGGGCAGACTTTGAATTTGCGGCAGCAGAGGCGGACTTGAGGGGGTTTGAATGGTTTTTGGAATGACCACATTTGGTTCGATTATGAAAGTTTTAAGGATGTTTCTTGCTTAGTTCCTGAAATTCACAAGGTTCTTCACCTGCTGATTCCTTTTTTTGGAAAAGAAAAACAGAAAAGCAAATCAGTAAGGCAAGAAACGTCCTCAGAGCTTGTTTGGTAGAGATTAAAATTGGATTTAGAAAAATTAGTTGTTATTGTTGACTTTTATTAGACGAATGAGACTCAATAACAACTATATTTTTAATTTTAATTGGATTAAAATCCCTCACAAACAAGTTCTCAATATATATGTGTTGGTGTTGGATTTGAATTTGTGGCCTAAAAGAATGCCCCGACCGGGGAATGGGGTGGGGGACACTGGGAGAGAGGACATGGTACCCACCCCAAACTCGGCCTGGCTCTTATTTTCTATTTATTTTTGCGTTTAAATCTATTTTGTATTTTAAAAAAATTAAAATAAGTTAATTAATAACTCGACAGGGCAACAAATGAAAATATTCCAATCTTAACTTTGCTTCTCAAAAATCCCCGACGGGACACGAAACAAAGAAGGCCGCCTCGTTGTCATCCCTTTGCCTTAGCCTAACTAGTCTTGTACTCATTCTTTTTTTTATTATAAAGTATCCACTCATTTTTTAATACATGTGAAACATCCTACCACTAGCTGGCAAGGTCTCTAATGCCAAACAAAATATTCTTGAGAATAAGCAGTATCTGGAGACTAAGTCTATGTTTCGCCTCCATTTTTTAAAACTCATTTTGTTTTTCCAAATTCATTTTTATCCGAACTTATTTCCAACAACATATTCTCCCAATAACATAATTTTACACGTGAATCCATAAACTTTTCTCTACTTTTTAAAATACTCTCCAAAAAATTCACTCCACAAACTCCATTCTCCAAAAATCTCTATCAAACAAGGACTAAATAAAATGCTCATGCCATAACAACCAGCAACAATGTAATAAACATCTCGATTAACAAAGAAGCCCCGCAAGATAACAACGGCAAATAAAGAAAAGGGTGAAATTTTAAGTCTTACCATCCAAGTTTACAACGGGCATCAAATTTACCCAGTTCATAGCTCCTCAAACAATGTGAAATCATAATTACAACTTACAAGACTGAAATAACGACTTCTCAGAGGAAATGTATTTCCAAGTTCGAAACTAGCAATTCCTCGTCTCCGAGTACCTTATTATCCAACATGAGCTTTTCCTAGCTTGAAGCTCGCACTTCTGCTCAGCAGCTTCCATTCTCAATTTTCTTTAATAGTAACCAACTCCTCTAAAATCTGTTTTCGATGTTTGCTCAGCATCACTTCCGTTTCCTAAAAACAATAGACGACCTGCAACGCCAATATAATTGGAGTTAACGTAAGAATAAAAATTCGTCCAAGTAGAAATGCCAATTTATTTAATAGATCAGATATACCACAAGGATTAAAATACATTTGCCAAATGTCTATCTTTGTCTTTTACCCTTTCTAATCATTTCTTATTATTTACACAGGAAATTCATACCTCCGTCAGCGATAGACCTCTAACCTTCCAATTTAGGCTTCCAACATGCGAAATTTCCAATTGCTATTCTTTTAAGTAATGCTTTTGCTCAAAATTTATGCTGAAATTAGTAGTCTTCTAACATTGATATAGTGCAGTCCCCCCAACCACAAACAAATGCAGAACAAAAGTTAAAAAGGAATAGAAAAACAAAAGCATGACCACAGCACCATTCAAGATCCATGCTCTAATATAGTTACCTAATAAAATAGACTAAAACATAATGTAACATAAACATGGAACCCACAAGGATAAATTTAGAAAACAGGTCCCATTTGTCAGGGACTGGCATATATTTTCCTCCATAACTTCCATTCCTCGGTTCCCAGGAGTCTCCAGCGGTTTTCTTCTCCATAGAAACAAAAAAAAATTCAAGGAAGTCGGACCCTTTACACGCCTGATGTATCTGTCCAAAGGGAAAACTAATAATCTGTCTGTGACAACCCCTCAATAAAATGCATTGTACAAGTGTGTTATAAAAATACTAAAGAAAAATACAGAACGGTAAAAGCAAAGAAGCCCATAATGCACACATGAACTAGAATGGCAAGCTTTTCAGATATTTATATAGCTAAGTTTAATTGTTTGTGCTGGCTAATGGCATTCACGCTTACATCAGGGAACACAATTATTGAAGGCAAAACAAAAAGGCAAATTGTAAAGTCTGTTAAAGACTGAGAAATATGGAATAACAAAATTTATACAAAAGCTTAAAGTGATGAAATTGCAATTTTATTACTTAAAGCAGTATTCCAGAGCCTAACAAGTCTTCATAAGGAACATCCGTAGAAAAGGCCAAGCAAAAAGGAAAATGATTGCAAACCGTTGCTGACCAGAATGAGTATGACAGATAACTTGATGATATTAACAACTGTAGTATTCACTAATAACCTAGCAAAACAAGTTTTAGAATTCAAATTCCATTCAGTAAGAGAGAACTGGAATGCTGTGGGCAGGTATAGCAACAGAAAATAAGTAATTAGAAAGGAGGATAAAAATGAAATATACCGTTCTGGCGTATTGCAATCTCTCTTATTCGCCGAACAAGACCAGTTATGGGATCATTGAAGATTTTTGTCTCCAGATTCCCCTCCACATACAGGATGGAACTACAATGGGCATAATTCACAAACTATTAAGATTGACAACTAATCAGAAAAAAATATAAACTCAAGGACTATTTTAAGCTGCTAATAGTCAAATTCGAGAGAAGCTCAACACAGGATGAGAAATGAAAAATAGCATCATGTATCTACTTAAGTACATGGCAGACAATACGATCTGATCAGATTTGAGATGAATAAAATATTCCAAGCTGCAAGAGAAGTATTTCAAAGGTGGCATGAAAAGATATAACTATAATTTCCTTCAAAATTAGGTTAACCCCACAAGGCATGCAAGAAACTGATAATCCCGATTTATAGTTATCCCGCAACTTCTACAGTACTTAGATTAAGTAAACAAGTTATTAGGTGTAGAACCCAACTCTCCCATAACAACCAGACATAAAGAAAATCGAAGGTTTATGACAACTGACAAGCATAATACGATTTTCAAAATTACAAATTACAATACATTAACAATTTTGGTCATCAGCATTAGAAGCAAATATATCTGAAAATTTTACTTGGAAGAAAGTTCAGAAACTAGAAAAATCCTCTTTCTTCGTTTTTGAGGAGCTCTTAAGCTCGTGTGGTGTCATATAAGTAACACTTTTTAGTGTTACCACATGTTAACCAATCATCAAAATCATTTTTTGTTTTTTTGATAGGTAATCTCAACAAATCATCAAAATCATACACTTACACATAAGGTATGATGGTTAAAAGGGCATTGAGGTTGAGCAGAGAGTTTGAAAATTACCCTGGAAGAAGATTTTTCATCGCAAGTTCCCCCAATCTCTCAGGATAAACTGAGACCCTATGCCACTGCACCGCAGACCGATTTGCATAATCCCTGGGTTCCTCGTTATCTAAGGGTCTCCTGTTGTTTCGAATGCCCCCAGTACCAAGTGAAAGCAGTGTAACCATCCGACCACTCTTTAATCTCTTTTGTATAGGAATCTGCCCCACTTGCCCCACCAATATTGCCTGCTCCATGAGCAACAAGAAGTCCACAAAACCATCAAATTATTAACAACACATCAATAGACTTTTGCGTCCATGTGTTGTATAAAACTGACTGAATAATATCTTTGTTATCGAAATAGACATTTTTACACACAAATACAATACAAAACAATCAAAGTTACAATTCATTTGCGCAAACAAGATATCCCGTAACCAAAATAACTAAGCCCCAAAATCATTGAGATATTTATAGATAATAGCATATGCTTGGGTGAAACGTACCTTGTAAATGCCGATGTCCAATCCGTTCTCGAGAGGTCTATCGAAATTAGGCCTCTGCTTACTTGAAAAGGGATGGGAAGACTCGCTGTCGGACTCGGATTGTTCAGAGAATAGACTTTTTGTACAGAAAGAGTGTAAAACTGAGGGTTTTGCTCTTGGGCTCGAGCAAATTGCACCGCAGTGTTTTCTTAAGAGTGAAGACGCCATTGATTGATTCTGGTCTTTATTTTTCTCTTTCCGCCTTAAACCGTGAGTAAATACATGAAAATGACATTTACACTGCAGGGTATTTTTAAAGTGATCTTTGACTAAAAAATAGAATTAAAAAAAGGTCAAAATATAGGTTAACTTCCAAAAAGTCAAAAATACCCTCGTTGTAGTCAAAAGGAACATTCGTCACAGGCGATTGAGACATCTCACCGACCGGCAATCTCCTTCACCGACCCATCTCACCGGCGACTTGAAAGGTTGGTATTTGTCATTAAAAGTGAGGGTTTCCATAGATTTACTTCGAATTTATGTACTTTTA